TGTTCAAAAAAATTCAAAGAATTGTATTAACCATATAGGATGCTCCTCTCTCTCATAATTGGAGAAACTGCATATCAGCCTATCATCATAGGTGAGTGGTTTTTAAAAAACCTAACAATGTTGCCAGTAATGTATTATGAATATGACTATAATACTGTATGCCATTAAAACCGTATAACAATTCATTCATTAGTGCATAGGCTTGCATACCAAGAAGCAATCATACCAATTACACTAGGCTACCATAAATCAGTCATATTGCTCATTATAAATGCATGACACATTATATTCATAATTAAATGTCAATTTCTTTTTCACATTATCTTTTCATTTTTGATGTCTAGTGTTAGTATTTGTATAACAGCTATAGTGCTTTGTATCATATACGACTATACTGATGTAGGCACTGACAAACCATTCATTCATCTTGCAAACAGACAACATAAACTTACAGTGTCAATAAATATAATATACTGCTGTAAATGTATTTTCTGTTCCTTATGATTTTCTTAATAATTTTTTTTCTCTAGCTTCCTGTATTGTAAGAATACAGTATATAATACATTCAACATACAAAATGTGTTAATTAAATGTTTATGTTATTGGTAAGGTTTCCACTCAACAGCAGGCTATTAGTAAATCTGGAGGGAGTTCAAAGTCATATGCAAATTTTCAACTGTGCAGGGAGTTGGCACCACTAACCTCCACATTGTTCAAGGGTCAACTGTATTGGGAGGCAAGAGAACTGTTCTATATCTTCCCTGTGGTGGTGTCAAAACTTGCAGAATTTGTCCAGAGTTGCAGAACTGTACACTGAAGAGGGTCTGTTTTACTGTATACAGATTATACCTTTTTTATTTTAAAAAATTATTTAAAAATTAAGGAGCCTCCAGGTACTTTAGAATAACTGCACCTGTATAAATCCAAACCTCTCCACATATCCTCCAAAAAACCATACAGATTAATATGAAGAACAAATAAAATTACACATAACTTATACCTTCAGTATAACTTATAATAGAAAATAATAGCCAAGACATAGAAACAACCTAAATGTCCATCAAGAGATGACTGGATAAAGACGTTCTGGTATACTTATACAATGGGTACTACTCAGCCATAAAAAAAAAGAATGAAATAATGCCATTTGCAGCAACATGGATGGACCTGGAGATCGTTATTCTAAGTGAACTAAGCCAGAAAGAGAAAGAAAAATACCATATAATCTCTCTTATATATGGAACCTAAAAACAAGAGAAATGAACTTACTTACAAAACAGACTCAGAAACAGACACAGGAAGAAACAGACTCAGAAACAGACACAGGAAGAAACACACAAGGAAACAAACTTATGGTTATGAGGGGGTGGGGGGAAGGGGTGAAAAGGGATAAATTGGGAGTTTGAGATTTGCAGATATTAACTACTATATATAATATAGATAACAAATTTCTACTGTATAGCACAGGGAACTATATTCAATATCTTGCAGTAACCTATAATGAAAAAGAATATGAAAACGAATATATGTATATGTATGATCAAACTATTGTACTGTACACCAGAAATTGACACAACATTGTAAACTGACTATACATCAATAAAAAAATAAACTTATAATAGAAAATAGAGACTACTATAGATTTCTGATTACCTATAAGTGAAAAATAAATACCAAATTTGCTTTCAAACTACTGTCACAAACCTTTCTGCAGCATGAGAAGGGTCTGAAAAAATGGTCAAGAGAACAGAGAGGGAAGCAGAGAACCTAAGGATGAGCTGAACTCATGCTTAGAAAGAGAAA